CTTCATTTAAAATTTTAAAGGCATCGAAAAATGGCCTGGAGAACAGATTCATAGCCACAACTATCGAGTTCCTGAAACATTTCAAGATCAAGTAAGTTCCTCTTTGTGTAATTTTCTTGATTGGTTAAATTCAATGGCAATACTTTTAGGAAAATTTCATGTTGGTCAATGAACTTTTTTTTTATTTTAAATTGATAACTGAACTTGTACTTTGTTTCAAGCTGGTCACTCCATTCACATCCATCACTTTGTCCAACAGAATTGGTGACCATTTGTTCCATTTTTTTTGTTAATGAATATTCCGAAACAAATGTTCAAGTTAAGTAATCAATTGAACTAAATTTTTAGTGTATTGGCGTATTTGGAACAAAATGAAGTTCATTGCGACCACTTGTTCATGTTCATAAATGTGCTTTTGTGTGGAGGCACGCCTGTATATGCACATATAAGTATGCATGTTTTATGTACATCTACAGGTTGTGGTTGTGATTGGAGACAGTGCTAGTGCACATGATATCTCAGGAGAAATTGTAAAGTTTGCTAAAGAGGTTCATCTTTCATCAAGATCCCCTGGAGTTAAAGTTTCAAATTATGACAGTATTTGGCAGCATTCGAAGGTAAATTTCTTTGCACGACAAACGATATCCATGCTCGTTTTTTGGTTATACGTACATTACCCTATATTCTGCAGATTGAATGTGTTTACAAAAATGGAGATGTTTCTTTTGAGGATGGTGCTTCCGTCCATGCTGATATTATTCTATACTGTACAGGGTATTTTTCTTATCTTTTCCCCTTCTTTTTCATTTTTTCCGAAGAAGGCAAATTATAATTTGAGATGCTTTAAACATTTTTACAGGTACAAGTTTAATTTTCCATTCCTAGAAACAGATGGAATTGTAAGTGTGGATGATAACAGGGTTGGACCACTTTACAAACATGTTTTCCCCCCAAAGCTAGCTCCCACCCTCTCTTTTGTTGGAATACCTTATTGGGTGAGTTCAATCAATTACCAATTTTGAATTACTGAGAAAATTAAGGAATTAAGCATGAAATTAGGGACTCAAATGACCAAAACATTAACTTCATAAGTCAGATTCCATGCTGGACTAACCTAAATTACTTGTAATTACAACACAATCACTAACCAAGGTAGAAAATTTCTTGGAAAAAAATAGGTGCTTGTATTTCATATGATGGAATTTCAAGCCAGGTGGGTGGCACGTGTTTTATCCGGTAAGGTGCTTTTGCCATCAGAAAAAGAGATGCTCGCCGATATCGAGAAGCATTACCAACGTATGGAGGAAGTCGGCAAACCCAAACACCACACTCATAGCTTGCATTCCGATGAGGTATTCCTATCATTATTCCATTTCCCTTATATTTTCAGTCGCAAATATCACTTATTTTCTTTTTAAAAGCCAATCAAAAATCAAGGCAAGGTTTTTAGGCCTATTCGCCTTAACCTGAATAGTGGATTTGGCGTTATCCCCTACCCAAGTTTTTTAATTTCTAAAGTTTGTACAATGAGGGAATCACGAGGCTTTACCTCAACATCAAAGAATACAAATCAATCCAAGAAGTTCTAAACACTACACTCCTGTCGCAAACTAGGCAAGCCCATTTCTCGAGTCATAGAAGTCATATGATTTCTCCTGAAGTTCTCTCTTTATATTCCGTATTAGTTATAACCAATTTGCATTTTTTTGGGTCATTTTTAAGGGTTAGTTTGTGTTTGTTTGCAGTTTGAGTACCTTGACTGGCTAGCTGCAGAAACGGGAGAGGCAAAAGTGGATGAGAGGCTCAAAGAAATGTACAGGACCATTTACAAACTACTTGCCAAATTTCTTGCTGATAGAGGGCGGATTAATTTTAAAGAAATGGTGGTGGAAACTGGTGTCTTTGAAAAGTAGATGAGGGGAGCATCCCTTTCATTTTAAGTATTTCTATTAGGAATAAGCTATTTGTATATAATGCAATGTCTATAACGGTGTTCATCTCT